TGCAGGCTCCCTTTAAGAACTACAATGCATAGCTTTAAGTTGTGCCATTTAAACATTTTTTTCTCATGTTTATGCTTCCTTCTCTGGAGTAGGAAAACAGAACCATAACTTCTGCAACTATCAGAATGCACTCACAGTCTTCATGATGAGTTAAAAGTTTTAATTTCATTATCACTGGCTTTCATATCACCTTGACTAACTTCTCCTTTCTAAAGTCACCTTCTCCAAAGCTGACAGTAAATTTTCAAAATAGTGAGAATTCACATGCAGGTCTTTTGTAAAGGACTTTGAGTTCACTCAAAATTATGTAGAACAGTCCTTTGTGTTCCCCCCAACAAATCTGAAAAAAAATCAAACTGTTGTGAGGATTACGATTCAAAAGTAAATTATTTTTATTAAACAGAAATTCCATTTCTGCCTACCTTAAGAAACTTTAGCAGTTCAAAAAGTGAAATAAACCCTTATTTCTGTTTCAATGGCTAGTGCTGCTTTCTTTCCCCTACAGACAGCATTCATTCATTTTCCTCTTCCTCATCAGAAACTGAGAGACACGACAATTTCTTTTCCCCTCTTTTATAGCCACGTAGACTTTTAGTAATTAAACTTTTGAAGTGCTGCCTGTAATAATGGTAGTTGCAACTGTACAATGACTCAAGAAAAAAATAAACAAATCACTTTTCAGTGAAGAAATTAATACTAACTGAAACGGGACTGTAGAAGCAGTAATGCTTAAATGCACTCTTTCAAGAAATGATCCACTTCCTGACAGAGCTGTACCACTTCCGTTAAGAGAATTATTAGACTTGGATGCTTAGCATAACTTCTCCTTTCATGGTAAAAACATTAAGTGGTTTTAGAGAGATAAAACTGTTGCCCAGAGCAGTTTCATAAAAAATACTTTTAACAGCAAATATACCTACCCAGTCTACTTTTCTGACGGTTATCAAGCACAGTGTTCAATTAAAGGTTCAGATTAAACAAAAGATAAAAATCACAGAGAAGATGTGCAAACTGAAAACTAGAACTAACACTATACTAAAATTTCTCACAAAAGCTGTTTCATGTCATGTTTGTCTTTCACAGTGAGTCCTTCCCTAAATTCATTTTGTGGTTTCCAAAATTTGATCCTTTTTTTCTTCTGCTGTGCAAATGTTCTCTGTGGAGGGATTAAGTGGAACATTTTGTATCACCTCGATTTCCAAAATTTGTCCTTTGAAAATAACACCCATTTCTGTAACAATTCAATGACCATAAGAAAGCACCAAACACCTTCACTTTAGCTCCATAGAAACTACAATTTCTATAAGCAGCTCCCCTTCAGAAAGAAAGTAAATCAAATACCTCAAAACTGTGAGGCCCTGGCACCCTGGAAATATGCAGCTCTAGCACTCATGTTCTTCTTTTTCTCTCTCATTTCCTCTCAGATGTCTGTACACTGAGCATTTCAATTTCACCTCAGCCCTCAGACCAGCTTGGCACACCACCTCTTTTAGAACCAAAAAGAAAATGTTGTGACACTTTTTTTTCTGTAATAATATCCTTCCATGTGGGAATCTCCCACAGCATTTTTTCCCTCCCTCTTTTCACAATTAGGAATGGCAAGTAAATACACATATTTTTTAACAGTTGTGTTGTGGGGTAGAGAAGGGACATCTATCTTTAGAACAGTGTTACTCCATATTCCCAAACTCGCAGCACATGCTCAGCCCAAACACTGAACTGTTGGCTGACTGACCTGTTGGGCTGTGCACATGAATATGAAAATGTTGCATAAAACAAAAACCATTTATACTGTGGAGTATGAGTAGCTCTGCACTGCCCCATAGCTTTTAATCATTTAAACATAAAATATTTTTTCTTTTATAGCAGAGGGGTATTGTGCACGCTTATTGTATGCACATCATACAAACAGTAGGGTTTTTTTCAGTGTTGCAGCATACACACAAATGTATTTAAATGCAAGTAACACTTTCAGTCAGTTAAACTGCACTTCTAAAAGCACAGTTTACATACCAAGGGTGGTTTTACTTCTCCAAACCAACAAGAAATCTCTTACAGACCAGTCTGTACTCCCTCTGCGTGTAAGCCCATCACTCTTCCTGGACTTTCTCATGCTGCTTTGGCTGCAGGCTTGAGCCAAATTTCCTCCCCCATCTGACCCTGTGGCAGTGTGTGCAGTGATTTAAACAGGACAAAGGCCCAATCAGTGCTGGCACCTGACTATCCATGCTTCTGACTGCTGGCGTGCTTCCAGGAATGGTTGGGTCCCTGGCCAGTACTCTTCCAGGCAATGTCTTTGTACATCCAAGCTGGAGGCTAGCACAGCTCAGTAATGGTATGCTGTCTCGACAAATCCAGGAGGCAGTGCAAAAAGAGGCCACTGTTTTGAAGGGGAAAGAATTTAGCTGCACCATGCTATGTCATGCCACTTCCCTGACACCTACAGAATGAGTCCTAATCAGTTTTATTTTCTGGTACATATGTAGCCTGTGTATTTCCACTTAGCTGTAATTCCAATCTATGCTTCAGGCTGACAGAGCTCTGTCCTTTAACAGCCACCCACAAAGCCATGTGACACTGCTGTTTGATGGAGGCAATGTCACCAGCCCACTATGCCTGGACCATTCTGCTGAAGGTAGATCTACTCTCGTGTCAACTACACAACCAAGTCTCCCCTCCACTGCTCCCAAAGTTCAGCTGAAAGGAAAACTTGAGCAGAGTCTTGTGCTCATGGACTACTGACAGGAGGTTTAGGCTTTCACTGCAAGTACAGCTCTTTTGTCTGTCAAAAGGTGGGATTCTTTCCAAGCATTCAGCAGGGCTGCTTTGCTGTTTCTGGATATGACACAAGAATCCCACTGCAAAAACATTTTACCATTGGACAAACTGTTATGTAAAAAATATTTTTTTTAAATGAAATGACCATGTTTCAAGTACATGTTTCAGGGGATCCCTCAGCAATAATAAAGAACTTTTAGTTCATGGAGTAGTACTTTGCAAGTCACATCTTAAACTGAAATATACACAGTAATCACTGTGTTTTACTATTTGCATTGTCAGCATGGATCACTATTTTTGGTTTGGTATTTTAGGGTTATTGCCTCATTTTTTAAAAGCTATTTTAGCTGAAATTTGAAAGGAGAAATTTTCAGCCTGGGGCAAATAAGCAGATACAGCCTGTCAAGCTGAGAACATCTGAAACCAAGACTATTAACAACTACTGGATTCAATGCCAGCACCCCCCACACTGAGCACTGGTAAATGGAGTCGGATTTCAGCTTCTCTCCTCTGAGGCTGCCAGGGACAGTTAGTCCAAGTGTAGGCTAGTAGAGCCACTGGATGAAATATAGCACCAGGCTCTTTAAAATCTAGTAACTGGGACATGGAATAATCAGAAGTGGTTGTTACACCTTGTAATGAAGAAGTAAATCTCACAGTACCCCCAGATGGACATAGCAGCTATTAGTTACAAAGATGCAAAAATGTAATAATTTAATAAATTAATAAATATAATCAGTTTAGTATTTCCATTTTCCCTTTTATAGTTTAATATTATACTGATATAATATTTACTTTCCCTGCAACAGTGATGCTTCTAAAAACAAGTAACAAAAGTTAGGGAATCAAGTATTTTGAAAACCTCTCCCATGGTGAGACTTTCTATTTTTATAGTCTTGATATAATACAGGGGGAAAGGCAGTAACTGGATGGACATTTTTGGAGGTGGTTATGTGTGTACCATATGCCACAGGGAGATACCTCAACAGAGCAGCTGCAGTGCTTGGTGGGAAACACCTTCAAAAGTTTTACCAAAAATGCTATGAAACCCTAGGTAGTATTATTAATTTCTAGGATGGCAGCTGCAAAGGCACCCTAACCTGAGGTCTGGTGTATAAATAATTACAAACCAGAAACTCTCACCGACTTTAAATAGCCAAACTCAATCCCTCCACAGGAAACTATAGAAACGTACACATATAGATGCATTTTCTTCATATATGTGTACAAACACAAATATTTAACATTGGAATGTGAATAATGGATTAACATTTTATTAATCTTTGATGTAACTTAATTAGACTCTGTGTGAACACTGCTGCTGAGACATGGCACTGTGAATTAGCAACTGGTGTGTAAGGATAGAAGCAGTGGCATTCAAGAGCAACGAGCCAGAAATTACTGTAAACAAAAAAACGGAGAGAAAAGTCATTTGAGTTATCTGTTGTAAGGAAATGAGGACAGCTTTTGAAATAACAGATTGCCACCAAAACGTAACAGACTGAGCGGCTTAGCTGAGACGAACACATCGGCTGTTTTGAACCGTATCTCCCGCACATCGCTACCGAAGCCCTCAGCGAGGAGTGTCCCCTCGCAGCTCAAGGGAGCAGACGAACGCGCCCCAGGCAGGGCAAGGCGAGCTGGGCACATGGATGTGCCCACCCAGCACCCTCGCCCACTCCCACCGCACGACAAGCAAGCCCTTGCCAGGCACCTCCTGAGCTGCAGGCGATAACCCTGCAGGCCGTGCGATCACCAAGGCTGGTTTGACTTCAGTGCAGGCGGCCTCTCCGACCTCCCAAGAGCCGACCACGCTCGCCGCCCCCTCCACGGCCCCGGCCAAGGGCGAAGGCGGCACCAGACGGGACCCGGGGCCCCTGCGTGCCCCGGGAGCCGCGCCCGGAGCTGGGGTCCCTGAGCGCGGTGACCGCGGGCTGCGGGCGCCCACAGCGATGTGCCGCGGCTCTCCGTCCCCGGCCGTGCCCCGCTGCTCCCGGCCCCGCCGCATCCCGCCGCGGGGATATCCCGCTTCCCGTCCCGCTGCCGCATCCCCCGCGCCGGGCTGGAGCCCGGCTCCCCCCCGGCCGCCGCTGCGAGTGGGCCAGCCCACGGCCGCTCCCCCCTTCGAGTGCGATGGAACGAGCCCGTAACGCGAGGAAGGGCGCCATGCCCCTCCCTCAGGTGATTGCCAGCTCCAGTGGTCAATCAGCGCCCTCCCTTACCTCTGGGCAGCCCAGCGCCCGCCCCCCGCGGGGGTCGGGGGTCAGCGGGAGAGGCGGGCGGGAATGTTTACAAACAAGACCGGGGAGTAGAGGGGCCGGGGGGAAGACGGGGGGCGGAGCCGGCGGTTGGCGCAGCCGCCGAGCCAATGGGGGCGCGCGGCGCTCGGCGGAAGGGCGGGGGCGGCGCGCGGGGAACGTTCTCTGCCCGACGGCCGCCGGGGCTCGCGGGC